TCCCCCGCAGGCCGGCGCAAGGCCGCCTCCACCTGCGCCTCGCACCTGGCCGTCACCTTCCTGCACTATGGCTGCGCCACCTTCATGTACGTGCGGCCCAAGGCCAGCTACTCCCCGCGACTGGACCGCACGCTGGCACTGGTCTACACCAACGTCACGCCGCTGCTCTACCCGCTCATCTACAGCCTGCGCAACCGCGAGATCACCACCGCCATCCGCAGGGTGCTGGGGCGCCGGTGGCGGGGCCGAGCACCGGGCCCAGGGCTGTGGGAGCCCTGACAGGGGGCAGGGACCAGGCCAGGGGGGCGGCTCCGCTCAAAGTGTTCCCTTATCATGAGGTGTCTGCAGCGGGAAAGCCACCAGGGGGAACTCAAGGACCGGATTCAGGAAAGACAACTTGGAAATGTGTCCACGAGGAGAGCCTCCCAGTGTTGCCCCTCTCCCACCCCTCCCCAGACAGTGGTATCAGGAACGGCCCGGACAGCGGTATCGAGCCCTAGAGCTGGATTTAGTGGTTCCGTAAATCCCTGTGTAGTTTTCCCCATGTGGTGCGCTTAGGGCCATGGAGAAGGCATAATTCAGGGCAGGTGAAGCTCGCAGACCCAGAGGTGAGGACAGGTCAGATGCATGGCGTGGCTCATACATTGGGTAGCCCTACTGCACTGTTTGAGGGGAGAGTTAGAGAAAGCTGGTTGGGGGAGGGAATGGCAAAGTGGAGAACCGGAGGATGCATAGGGGTTAACCAGGTGAAGAGTGAAGATGCTCCAGCGGAAACGGCTCACTGGGGCTGGAGCGTGTTGGGAAGACTCTTGGACACAGCTGGAGGATTTCAGTTCATAGACTGGTGTGATGACTCGCCCCCCACGCCTTTGTGTGATCACTCAGGCTGCAGGGTGGGGAATAGACTAGAGGCATGGAGACCCATTCAGGAAGCTGTTGCTGTGTTCCAAGAGAGAGGCGATGGTGTCTGGACCAGAGTGTCAGCACAGGGGAATATGTGGCATGGAAAGAGTCAAGAGATATGCTGGAGGTGGACATGACAGGACCTTGACTGGATATGAGGGCAAGGAAGAAAGAGGAGGTAAGGATCATTTCTAATCTAGGTCATGTGGTGGATGGCAGTGCCATTGCTGAGAAAAGCAGGATCAGGAGCAAGTGGGGAAAGAGAAGGTGGAGGCTTCTGTTTTGAGCATGCTGAGTTGAAATGCTGCTAGGACAAACCAGTAAGGATACTAACTGAGGAGGCAGATACACAATCCAGAGCTCAGAGGAGAAGTTCAAGAGGAGGGATGGATTTAGAACAACAGGCGGCTATTGAGACCATGGAGGTGGATGATATCACCCAGGGACAATGCATAAAAGGAGAAGAAAACAGGCCTTAGCCAGAACTCAGAAGAGGGAAAGGCGCAGCCAGGAGGCTCGAGAGCTGCAGAGAGGCTCCATGGCCGTGGCTCATTCCTTCCTTCACCTTGCCAGCCTCTACTGCAAAATGAGGGCTGAAAGTAAATGATCGGTAAGGTTGCTTCCTGCTCTTTGATCTCTTAACATGGAACAAGAAAAGATACAAATAGATCACTTAAAAAGGAACAAAAGAAAACAAGTGTCATTACTTAAGTGCCAGTTGAATGCATGGGGAATAACAAATCATGTGGCATTAATTGGGAAGGTTTCCTGGACGAGGCCGGATTGTCTGAAATGACTTTTGGAGAAAGGAGTTGATTTGCTTTGATTCCAATCACCAGGGAGTCAGTCGCACCACCCACTCACCCATCTGACTCTGGGAAACGCCCATGAAAGCAGAGTAATGTGAAAGAGGGCCAGGGCCACATGCTTTTCTAGGCCCTCTCTCCTATGAGGAGACACCTTCCTGGGATGTTAAAGATGGTTTCTAGAGGCGGTGAGTGAATAAACTTGGTATCAGAATGACAGTGATCCCAGGGTAATTGGGACGAAACCCTAATCAAAGGTAACTGTAGGAAGCTAAACAGGGGACCTTGAATAGCACACTTTGGCTTTCTCCTCTGGGTTTTCGGGATGGGGCACGATCCTAACACAGTTATACATTAAGAAAGTGAATTGGAAATAATAGTGCAAGATGGAGTAAGTATGATGAGACTAGTCGGGGTTGTGGCAACAGTCTGCAGATGAGACGTTCGGAGCTGGAGGCGTGTCTGGGATGTGGTAGGGAAGGGATGGATGAGGTAGGGAGTGGTGAAGATATTAGCATGAGCCAATGTGGGAAGGAAAAAATAGCTATCTAGAATAAATAAACTTAGGTTTTCTCTTTAAACTTGTACCAAAGTAAGTATCAAATGTATTAAAGATTTTAAAGTAAAATACCATAAAAAAACATTTAAAAAATCTCAAAAAAGAATACAGATTAAAAAATATAGCTTGTTTCAGAATGGGGAGGGATGTTCTAAGCACAGTGGCAAAAGAAGTCAAAAAAAGAATTAAAAAGAATTCTAAAAAGACTAATAGGTTAAGGTTAGATTGTAGAAAAATGTAATTCTTGTATATATGATGTATATGTGTGTGT